AATTATTTACAGTAATAACATATTTTTCCGATTGTGTGCATGGCAGCTTTGCCCACACACAATAAGACAGGATGATATGTACGGATATGTGTGAGTATGTTTCATGGATTAATAGGCCACTCCTTTGCTTCAATTCCAACTAAACCTCTGGAAATATCACTTGATGTTTATCATCCATATTTTGATATCCCACAATGTGTCGATTGCGTATCTGGAAATTCTAACTACTATTTCGCAAAATTTGACCAGCCTTGCTTCTACCAGTCATTTAAGTCAACTCCCATATTGTCCTTCACAGTGAAGGTTAATGCAGATATATTGTAAATTACACAGAGGTAACATTATAATACATTTTATTTCACATTCCCCTGTATTACATAACAATCTTTGAGCTGAGGCAGTTATGGTTCTACAACCATCACCAGTTCTCTTGTTGTAGAACTGTTTCCAGGAGATGACAGAAACATGGCATAGTATATACACTTTCATTATGGGGGTCGGCCAAATGGCCAAGACTGAGGACAACGAAAAGCCGCTATTCGTAACAGCTATCAGAGTGGTATGTCTCGGACGACATTAGCCCGCGTATCATGTGGGTTATAGGCGACTCAGTTGCGTAACAGCTCACTGGAACAGAGAAGAGAGGCTATGCAAAAAACTCCATGCTTTGATAACAACTGGACCCATTCAAGAGTTGATTATTATGTTTATTGTTATATTTAGACCACCGGTTCATCGTAAAATTTACATAATTGTAATTAAATGCAAACATAAGCCCATCAATGTTTTAATGCATTGCTTCTTTCCTTAGCGTGAAGGCTAGGTAAATTAAATTTATACATTTCATTCGACCGTATTGGTCAAAAGAGTCATCAAAATGTAGTTACATTGTTTCTCGAGTAGCCTTGGTTAGCGGGATTTACAAATTACACAAGTTCTCTCAAGGCGATCCAAAATATGTCTGTAGCTAGTTTCGATAGCGAGATCGTGACTGGGGCAACGTAACTGGATGGGTAAACGCCAGGCTATCCTTAATTAGAAGTCCTCTTAAAGTGAAGAGATTCAACGTAATTACGACAGATTCTGAAGTTATTTGTCCGATAAAGGGGGTTCAAAGGGGGTTCAAACGACTAACAGTCGTTTTGTTATCGTATGTTTCAATCAAACTTTGACTGCGAAAAATCGAAGTGAACGAGAACTCCGGATGACCACGTTTTTGCGGAATCTTTTACAAGTCAGAAATCTTTATTTTTTACAAATTCAACAAAAATTCAAAAATTACAACTCCAGGTTATGAGGCCAAGACGAAGATTTAAAACAAAATATTTACTATGGTCCTCGTCAACAGTGTGTCATACATGTTTTTTTTCCGTCAACTTGGTGGCGCAGCATGTTCTATTTTCATGTTCGCAGTTAAATGTTTTCACGAGAATCCATTCTTTCGTTCACTAAGCAATGTCCAGTGAACCCTGTATCGATAGAAGGCGTATTTAAACTATACAAAGTTAATTGCGTCATAACATAAAGTGTTACAAACTCTGCAATTTGAAATGACCGTCTTTTTTCTTGGGCGATAGTAATGGAATTAAGAAAGAGGTCGGTGCGAGATATTGCTGTATCTGACACGTAGAGGTCTAATAAGCCAAGGCGCCCTCTGTCAGAACAGTAATACTGTGCATTCTACTCCGTAATTTGCAGGTAACCAACAAACATGTTGCCAAACGATTAATGTCAACTTACACCTGTTGTTGTTTTGGACGTATTGTTATGATAATATCTAGCAAAAGTTGGATAATATTTTTTTTTTGCCAATTCCAGATGTTGTTGTTCGCAGACGACACGTTTCTGAAGATTGGAAGCGGTACAGCGACGACTAACTGAGTCACTAATAATACATAGATTTTTGTTTAAAAATAGTTTGTAACCAAATATGTCCGTGTTATCATTTAATGGCAAAAAAGACTTTTATTTCTGTTTATTACGAGAACTGTAACGCGTATACACGGGATTGAATCACATAGAACGATCAGAGTATAAAGGCAGTATTTTGTGTTAAACAGGGAATAATTTGTGCACATGATACATTTATTTAGATAGATAAATGCATATACATTTATAGATCCTGTCTGTTGACGTTGCATTGATAATAAATTACGCAAATTAGGTAATGTTCATATTTATGCAATGCAAATGAAATGGAAAAAAAGATCTTGGAGGCCGTTTGAGTCAAGAGGTCAACTCATATAGCGTACCACGCCCTTTAACTTAAATGTTTGCGTTCACACCATGGAGTTTCTTACTTTTTTTTCAAAGAAATTCCAAACGATCAATCGAAATGTTTGAACGCGTTAATTGACTACGCCTAATTTCACGATTTTAGAAAATAAAACAAAAACGTTGTCTTTTATGAATGATTGTTCGAGTTACACAGAGTGTGAATGTTGTAACGGCATGATCAATTGTATCGAGGTGTAAGAATGCCAATACGCTCAACGGGTGGTGACCTTATCTATCGGCTCGTAGAAACTCATACAGTGGTAAATTAACTTTAAATGTCAAGTTACGTACGTTGTGTTAATAATACAACATACTCGACATTTTTTGTTACAGTAATACCTTTAACAGTCATTTAGTTTTTTCCACCCGGGTCTAAATGTGCTTATGAGAAAGTAACAACTCGGACAATGATGGCACTTTGGAAAGTTCATGATGAACAAAATACTAATCCGTGTCTACCACTCACCAACTCATCATCATATGATCACCGAGTCCGCACATATAATATAAGTAGTAAGGTCGTTCGGGAGCATTCGACTTGATAAATCGCGGCGAAAATATTTGTTTCAAAAGTGTTACAAAATTATTGATTTGGACGCATTTGGATCAACCAAATTGTGCGACGAAATGCAAAAAAATGAGCATTGTTTGGTCAAATAACATAGAAATCCATGTTGAATTACTATTTCATAAAAAATAAATACTGTTAATCCAAATTCCCCATAAAATCGTGACAAACAAGGGTAGCAACCTCATACATACATCATACGATTATTACGAAATAGTAAATATGTCTATTTTTCTGGATGTATTTCCGAATCGGTGATGATATATTTTAATGCCAGTTAATACTATACTAACATTATTACTCGACCAGGTCCTCCGTGTTATCTTCAACCGAAATAACGTCCTAGCCAACGGCACTCATGTACAACCAGAGTAGTTAAATACATCAAACGATCACGTCAACAAGAAAGCATCGCATGTTATGATTCACACCAGAAGGTCACCATGAAAATCGCTTCGTGTCAGGTTATTATTTTCTGCATTTCCGTGGTTCAAATTATTCAGATCGTAACTGCATGTGGACGATCAGGTGAGTTTGACATGTTTTATAAGTATATATATATATAGGGTATTTCTGAATATTCTATTTGGGGTACGGAGCTACTGAGATTCGCGATCGATAGACGTGACGAAAATCATCGTACCACAACTTATTAGCCATTTTGGGGTGTTGTCAACACAGATTTTCGGTGTTTGAGCAGACTGTCTGCAGCGAATCAATGAGTACATTGCGACGTACTACCCACTCCGTGTCTGTACATTCACGGTCGCGAACTTGGCCGAGGGCCACGTGTTCTTGTGTTCGGACCTGTGGGTCGGTTAGTACAGAGTATATAGGGTTTACTGTCCGCTCGGGAGCCATATTATTGAACAAAAAAGCGTGCCACGTCTGAAATTCAAACATTCTTTGAAGAAACATATATTTTTGCGGATATGCGTGGTGACGAATATGATTATAGTGTATGTACCATGTACTTATTGGGGCGACAATGAATTTGGAGAATCCAGCAGTATAGTCTCTAAAAATACATGCCTGCAATTCACACTTCCAGGAAGCAAAGATGGATACGGCAAAGAAGACAGCAACTACACCGGTATATTCAATTTATCTGATTTAAATGCAACAGGCGTATACAATTCTACGGAAAGTGTACTCAGTAAGTGTGGAATTTAATTGTTTTTTGTATGTATTACGTCACCAGGGTGAACAATACACAATTACACGTCAAGATTATTAATGATATTAAACAACATTTTTTTGTAATGTTTACACTTATTTTCAGTCGGGATGAAAACGGAAGACTCAGAGGTCGGGGAAGTTCGAAACGCACCGGCCAATGTACCAAAGCAGGCGCCAAGTAAGTAGATGGCACCGGCGATTATTTCATGCGGGGACCATTGTTTGCACGAGTTGATCGGCCCGCCGTCCCTCGGTGTTGAGAGACGGTGATTGGCCGGAAGCAGATGAGAATGCAGATGACCGAACGCGTTTAGATTGTCACGTGACCTGTATTCTCACAAAACACGATCATGCTGTATACAAACGCTACCAGAATAACTGAATACTGATACATGTATACTGTAAATGCATTGATTATTCGTTGGCTTTTAGTTTCGCTAATAATATGTAAAATTAGCTAAATTAAAACCAGGTTCACATCATGTAAAACAACAACAGAACGCACTGTTTTGCTGGCCACTTCCTAAACTTAAAAAAAAAAACCCAGCGAATATGCTCAACACATCGAAATAGTCAGTGAATATACACTATACTACGCAAAACACGCTATTTGGTGATAGGTATATGTGTCTCAGGTGATCGGGTGTTTATTTTTATCTGCTGACCTCGTTGATATGAACAGGGAACTGATATCAACCACGTAAACAAAGAGAGAGAGGTCAGGTAGATATCGACTGACCTATGACGTTTTTATCACCACGAGACAGATATATAGTGGTGCCTGAATACCAGAACTTGCGTTATAAAATATGATAACGTTGTTATCAATGATGATTAAAATTTCACCTTACGGATATATACAGATAAAATGCACGTTCTTTCATCAATAACCATAATGGTATTTTAACAAACAAACAAAAACAGAGACGAAAAAAGTTATGTTTCACGATTTTGAAATTGTGTACATTTGGTCCAAAATTAAAGAAAATACATAAAAATGCGCAGATTATTACACCAGAATTTTTAGCGGGAATAATGAGGGCGTAACATATGCAATGGTTTAAATGGACACACAAATGTCTGAACACGTTAGAGAGATTACACATATCTAAGCGTCACAGTGTCTGATAGCCTGTTCCATGTGACGTATGCAAATCGCGTAAAAATACATTGTTTGTTTGTTTACACAAAATTCCAGCATATGCTGTGGTTACCGCCAATTTACAAATACAGTCCCAGTTTAGTTTCCACTCATACTGATTTGACGACGTCAATTTAAAAATAACTTTCATCTGCACCAGAAACGTGAACCTGGAGAGAAAATCACACTTACTGTGATTTGTCGGATGTTTTAAACGGTCATTTCAACGGAGTTTCTAAGTGCATTTTAACAAAAATTAGAAATTAATCGTAAACAACGTCACGAGTAATCTGAAACGATTGTGATGCAATTATCTAAACTAGTAGAATGAAACAATATTACCGGCCGTAGACTGGCCGCAGTGTCACAATTTTCAACTTAGCCGCTGAAACCCGGGGAGCTTTCATGAGTTAAAGAAACATTAAGCATTATTAGTTTAGAATAAAGACACACATACGTGCTAGAAATGAATGTCAGCGAGACTATCACAGCTACGCGAATAAGATACTAGGATTCCCCACGGTCGAAAGTTATTTCGGTAAACAACTCATCGTATACGTGTGTACTCGTAATAATTCAAGACACCCCTGTCTGTCCTCTTTTCAGGAATTACAATGAAGTATCGATATTGCCTATGTAAGCGTCGTTTGGATCTTTCAGAGATGAGATATGAAGGTGAAGCGATGCTGAACTATGACGACATCGACGAGGAATACGACAGTGAGAACCAAGAACTGACGTTTGCTGATTTTGAATTAATCTCCGATATACGTAAGCGACGGAGGAGATCACAGAGGTCGTCACGGTCAAAACGATTCATATGGTACGGTCCGTCGCATACCTATGTGGAGTTCCGGGACGTCGTCTTTGATTTTTCCAGTGATAACGATATTGGTAGGTAGATGTCGGTGTTTGGTCACTTTATGTATTAACAGAACGCGTAATTGGTACAAGTAAATGAAAAGTATTGCTTGACGTTATAAGAGGAAAAATGTGATTGGTTCATTGAAAACAATTTCGTAAGTGAATGTAATTGTTTGGTTGATGTATATAACAGAGGACATGATTTGATGATTGGCCCAGTGATGATGATATTGATTAGTAAATGTGCTTGATATGTTGATTGATTGATTGATAGATGTGACGTGGGTAAGTAAATTTATTTAATAAGTTGGCTGATAACCACGGGTTATTGGTCCATGATAACAATGTCGGCAAGTAAATGTTGATTGGTTGGTTGACTGGTTGATTTTATAAGAGAACACATGATTCATTCAGCGTGTGTAAGTAAGTAAATTCCGTTGATTGGTGAATGTTACAGAATTAAATTTAATATATTCGTATAATATTGGGCTATAGTTTGTTGAATATTCAAATAAAGCACGACCCAAATAAAATCATTGGCAAGTTTCCTAGAATACTTCCAGCGTTTTCAGGATTTTAGTTACGACGTTTTTGTCGATCGAGTTGAAATTAGTGTAATTATCCTAAATGCGTTTCTTTTGTTTTCTGAAATGATTTCCATGCTACCTATCCAGGTGAAAATCGAGAAGACAGATGTTGCGATTATCAGCCCCTGGAAGACGGCTACAGCGCATGCTCACTACAAAATATCCGCCAGTTCAACAGAAGATGGGAAACTCATCCAAGCACAAAACGATATCGATTGATCGTAAATAACTGTCAACATTATACCAACGCGTTGATAAGATATCTCGCACGTGACTGCTTGATTACTAACCCTGAATTCGACGAAAGACCGTTGTTGACTTGAGCGTTCACATTTATTATTAAAGTAAGAGGGCCGTCACCTGCGCACGCGCGGGAATTGAGTCTCAAGCGATGATAAAAACATACTTTAAAAACGCAAAGGATCATTGGCAGACGCTTGTTTGTAAACAATAATACGCTATGGCCATCTGACGCATGCGCAGGGGACCACTCCCCCGCTTTAACTCAAATATTTCAATCATATTTGCTTTCTTTTGTTTATAACTTATTCCTCAGTTTTGTTTACGAATATAATGCATGATATTCGTTTTTAAAGAATAAGTAAATCTATTTTCAATGTGTCTGCTTGTGAATTAAATGTGCAGTATGAACTAAAACGTGTTTATAATGCATTTTGATGAAAGCACTGATATACTATCACAGCGAAACTCGATTCAGTTTGACGGTTCGGGTGGATGTTCAGTTACAGGGTCACTATTTTACAATGACGCCATTTCTGCATTGCATTGTGGGATATACGTAGGAATAACCACGAGTTCAGAGAGAGCTTGCGGTTCAATATGAGCATTGTGCAACATTTTGTTTTGTTTGGTTATTCACTGAAACAATAATTATTATTATCATGAGCTTATCGAATATAATATTGCATCAATAATGGTCTATCATCAAACGGATGGCGCGTGCTAATTCAGCACTCGGTGACGACTGGTGCGTCTTTCATTTCGAGTAATCAACGCTAACGAGGTTTATAAAAAATCAACGGCTACATTGTTGCCGATTTTCTTGAGATCATTATGTTTGTTTGTATGTATTTGTGTTGTGTCAGACACTGCATTATTTTGGCTACTAACGGGGCACTATCCAATTGTAGAACTGCATTTTGCTGTGTGATTTATCGCGAATTAAAAACCTCGGTTTTACAGCACTATTCGTTCAATGAGCGAAAACACTACGCACCAAAATAATCCACGCTCATTTTTGTTATCACTACATCAAAAGAAGTTTTCTGCTAGAAATCACAATCCAACATCCAAAAGGCAGTAACGACAATTTTATTGCATCATTAATTTGGTTTATGGATTCATATATTATATCATATATTATGACGTCAGACGGGCTGTAGATTTTTCAGAACCTGTTACAAACCTTATGGATAACCAAGCGCAATGACAATACAGTATAACAAAATATCTATGTTTAATGTTGCCTCAGTATTTAAAAAAAAAATTCTTAACAAAAAATTTACTCAGATTGATGAAATTCCATTTTTTTTTGCTTAAAGCGCGGTGGTCGTCGCGCAGCGCGTGTTCGAATTTCATGTAAATAAACAATGTATTTTACACGCGTTGTATACGTCGCTACGAGTCCCATATCGAACAGGACGCGACACGACGACTGCCGCCCTTCAAAGACTGAAACACGATACTCCAACTACTGCATCAGCTTAAGTTGATAATCTCATATTGACCACTGGGGGCGATGTTTATTTTTGTTCGAAGTCGTGTAATTATTATCATTTGGTTGTACCATAGACACTTCGCGACGTTCCTTATTCGCGGTTAGTAATATTTTACGAAGATATTTGTTCACAATTTGATAAACTGGCTTGGCGGCGATTCCACCATTAATTAGATAGTGTCACAGCACTTAGGCAATTTTTTTAACAAAACCAAAATCACTCTCGATGATTTTGTTTACTTTGCATGTGTACTATGATTGCATTTGAAGTTTTGATAACGTTAATGGGTGTACATATCAATAAGAGAATATGTTATACATGTGTGTATAACCTTTATTTTTCCTTGTCATAATGATACATTTTTCCGATCTGTGGAAATCCTAATATATGAGATTTAAAGTTCACAACTGGCGGTTTTTCAATATGAAGGGTTGTCAACTTGTCCATGACGTTTATTTTGTATTTACTTTTAGCATGAGGTCCATAGTATCGTTTTCTTACTGATTTGACTACACTGTGTAGTGCGTGTACTCACCAGCTTTTTTGTTTGTTTTGTCGATTTGTGTTGTCATTCTGAGTCGTTTGTTTTGTGTTCTTTTGTACAAATTCAACAGCGGTTAAATAAGTATATTATTTCGACTTTGCAGTATATCGTAGCCAGTACTTGTATACTTTGTTCTCCAGCATATATATTGGATTGCTCGGAAGCATTAGATTGTAATTTGAATTTCGTTCATTAATACTGTATAATGACGCTATCTTCGGGACCTATCGATGATTCAGAGTCCCAGTCACGGTGTTGAATATGTCCCGGCCCGGCTGATATACACACAATGCGCCCAAGAAAACGTCAGAATAGTAAAAAAAAAGAAAGCTAAAAGTCAGTTGCCCGTGTCAAGAGAGCCACGGAACCGCAACAATCTGTCAACCGGCGCCATCCACGACAGCGATATGATTTTACACATAGAACTTGAGATTCGCGAGTATAGACACATTAGCCTACATAGAAATGAACGCTAAATACAGCTATCCCTGCTCGCACTCGAATCATTAATATTCATGAGTGATGTAACTGGTGTTTCCATCTATTCCCACTATTCTTAAAAAGTGAATGTTATCGAATATTTTCGTACTGTGTCGTAAACATTGCTACAATCAAAGATGCACTGAACAGGAAGTCCATTCTGGGCTTGTGCCATTGTCAAATTCTGGAGGGGTGAGGACTATTTATACAGGAGACGTTCCAATAAGGAATTGTTAAAATTGTTCAATTGGCTTATCAAAATCCTTTATTGGAACAGAACATGTTCTATAATCAAAAACCAAAAACAACGTTGCTATGTTTCTAGACTCACGACGAATCCGAAACAAAAGAAACAGTCCCATCCAAACGATCTTCGTCCTTGAAAATCGAGTCTTATCGCCTTTGCGGCATGGTCTCCAAGTGGAAAAACGTCGTTGTCAAAAACGACCGATTTTCGCTAAACCTTTTATGATTTTTTTTGATAATATCATTAATACAGTCCAGTGGTAGATAGGTTATTTATTACTAACGCGTCAGTCGAGATAAATCTGTTAATACACCTGAAATGATACTTGTTGATACATTTACCATCCCAAACAGACCAAATACACTCAACACATCTATATATCGAATCTTCCGTACAACTAGGTGAATATTGAACTTTGCGATTACGCATGAAATTATATTACAGCTGGTATGATCACTTTTGAAATGCAGTTCAAAATCCTTGTCCGAAACATAGTACACTATAGGGTAATCACATCTGCTAAAACTGCAGCGAGTCGACAGCGTGATAAATCTATGCTGGTAACATGCAGATCGGATTTACGTATCCGCCATCGTGCGGTGGCAAGTTCATTTTACTAACTTATGTAAATCGATTCTGTAACGTGAACACTTTATTTAGTTGGGTAGATGTTCGTCATATGTAATTCAGCGATTTTTGATTGGTTTATTGACAGACGTCATCTGACATTCCAACAAATGATGGCACATTTGATTAACCTAGCTGCGTCACAGAAGTGCTTCCTATCGATAGAGGGCGCGAGTCATTGGAAAAGGACATGCACATACGTAAGTTGCGTATCACCCGCAAGCAAAAATAACTCAAAATGCGATATAAATAATCATCATGGATGAACAGCCGGTATAAACTGTAACAACGTAATTACAGTGAAACCGATTAGAACACACAACGTTTTCAACATTCGATTTTCGTTTTCCTTTAGCTCGTACGGAAGTATCTCGAAAAATGTTAGATATACGAGTAAACCGACAGCGACGCCCTGCATCAGTCCGCTAACAAAGCTCATGGTCAAAGTGGACGAAGCGGACTCGGTAATCGCGATGCCGATTCCGATGCCGAGCGGGAAAACCGCGGCGTGAAGACAGACTAGTACGACTCCAGCTGATTTACGCAGCCAGCTTCTACGGATGTTGACCGCGAAACTGAAACTCACCGGCCCTTCGTGGCAGGCTATAGCGGCGAAAAGTATCAACACGCTGTGAGGGTCGCTCAGCAAACCTAAAACGATGCCTTCAAAAATACCATGTAAACAGAGTGCGATGAAAAACATGTACGATCTTAGCACTGACTGTATGTATTCGAGTTCTTCTTCATGAAGCGTGCGAATCTCGTCATCATCTTGGCTGGCATGAATACTGGCATCGGTGTAGTACCCATATTCTGTTGTCGTCAACGGGATATCCTCCGTTGCCGTCTTCGTCAACCGTTCTTTGCACGCCAGAATTCCCTGCTCTATGACCAGCATTAGGAATATGCCCGCACACGCCAAGAACTCAGCCGCAGGGAAATCGGGATCGATCTTAACATAGTCGCTGCTGAATAAAAACTCCCTACGCACTTCGGGTAGCAGGTGTAACATCGCTGTAGCCAAAATGACCCCACCGGCAAAACAGTTGAGAAATCCGAACAACCGCTCCATGCCAGCCCCACGATAAGTTGGGGCGCATTCCGCTAGAAATAGGGGTATCAATCCGCATATAATAGCGATGACGAACAGTCCCAGAAGGGCGATGATCTTCGCGTCAATGGCTTCCATCTTGTCTGATCGCAAATAGATGATTTCACTCCTACAAAAGTGTGTAAGGCTCAAACAATATTAAAATACATGAAACACAGACGCTGTGATAACAAACCAGACAAACCCAGCATGATGTTACGTTGTTATGTCATACTCAGTTCCTTATTTGAGTGGTAGTTTGCTGAGCTTCAATTGACGGTAGAGTTCCTGTTTTCGAATCGACAGACTGAAACTATTATTACCAATTACAGGCATATGGTGGATATATTTAATTCTGAACGAGAACCTGTAACAACCCGTTGTGTTGTTAAGGGCATATCATTATAAAAGTAGCAACTCGTTAGCGCAAGCTGTTGCGTTTTGTGTGAAATTCATAAAAATATACGATATCGTGTAATCCCCTCCCTTGGACGCGTTCTTGATTATTGTTGATTATTGACGCAGACTACACACAGCTCATCGCTACAGAGCACGCGCGAATTTGTGAAATTCCAACCGACGTCAATACAAAAAAACATACTGTTCTTAGTGATTTGCTAAAAAGAACAACTATCCAATCAAATTGAGTTGCTTGGCATTGCTCACCCTTAATGACGTTACTTTGAGGGTTATTCAAGTTATATCCAGGCCCAGTTTGCGAAACCCGTATTTGCGGCTAACCCGAAGTCCAGGAAATATAATGTGCATAATGAAAACGTGACGTCATCATATCAATTGCCAATTCACAATGGACTTTTACGAGCTGCCAACACTATCAGACAAAATGAGTTGTCCGTGTCACTGTAGATACATAATTGCGATGTAATATATGGGCATTTATTCACGATGACACGTA